ATCCACGATGGATCGGGCATTTGATCTCGACATGAATCAAACATACAACCTTCTGATTTGGAGTTAGACGCGCTACCAATGCACCACGGATCCGTTAATGATTTTGTTTCACTCAAAATAGTATGTAGTAACAAAATTCAAATCATACGGTCTGACCCAGTATTTCGTGATGGTTTTAGACTTTTAGGGTTGAACCATCATATCTTACACTAAGTTATATATCCTATGTGAACGAATAAATGCCTTGTATTTGTTTGTTTGTTTTTTTATTTTTTTTTTTAAATAAGAATTTATTTCACTTTTAGGGATGTCAATTGGGCGATCTCGGTTGGTTTCGACTAGTCTTATTGAGCTGTCGAGTTTTAAATCCTTGGTCCTAATTCTGAAACCTCGAGGTCGTGCTTATCGGGTGAACTCAACAATTAATTCAAGTTCCAAGTCGCTAACATCCAAATTTCCATAAACCACAAACACAAATTAAACATCATTAAGTCCACAACTCACACACCACAAATCGACGATCACCACTGGAGTTTAAAATGACAAACAATCAAACATAAACCAACGGTATTTAATTTCTATATTGGTTCAAAATAAAATAAGAATATAAAAATCTGTAATTATCAAATAAAAGACTTAAATGTCTATTTGTAGCAATCCAACGATTAAGCATAGAAATTAAGTATATAAAATAAAGAGTTAATAATCAAAATAGTCTCTCGACTATGCCGTAATTATTAATTTGGTCCTCAACTATCATTCTTACCTAATTAAGTCCTTAACTATGTAATTTTTACCTATTTTAGTCCTTGATTAATTTGACTGTTTGTTGACTGTCTAAAATTGAAAGCAAAACTGTAATTGTATAAGCTTTCTTCTTCCTCTCCCATTTAGTAGTTCCAAACTTTGTAGCAAAAGTTACTGGCTTTCATCCGAAGCTACTGCCAGCGTGCCCTAGTCACCTCGAAATGATGCCTGGTTCACTGTGAGCAACCAAGAGTCACGTGAAACCATGGAATGAATGTTCACAACTCTTTTCTTTGATGCTATGTATGATTTCAGAAAAGGATATATCTGCCTTTCCATCTCCATATGTTTCTAATGGATTTAATTATCTGGGGTGGACCCGAATCACTAAATCCGATAAAAACGTATATATGAAATAGATATGTAAAGGGGATAAAACGGTGTCGTAAGGTCGCGGGGACCGTATATTGTATTAAATATTGCTAATAAGCTATTACAGTGCTTGATTAGGACAATTGTAGTGAAGATGTCTAGATAGGACAAAAATAGGGGTATTTATACAAGCCATGCCCCTTAACCACTTTCTAAAATGACGGGGTCGATTAGATCTGCGTTGACCGCGCCCGGAGGCCCGAGCCCCGGGTCTTCCGCTTGACCGGCCGACCGCTTCGGGTCGGCCCTTTTTTTGGCCGAGCACAATCTGCCCGACCCCTTAGGGGTCGGGACTTATTCCGGCCGAGGCCTAATAGGCTGGGGCCTCGTGACTTGCTCCGCTTTCCCGGGTCGATTTGCTCCGGTCATAATATATCCATCAATTTCCATCACTTCATTACCCACAACTCAAAACAACATGAATAATATGTTCATATATGAAAAATACAAACTGACATTATTTGGAATTTTGGATGGTTGCCAAGAGTAAATCAAATGACACACAAATATTGGAGGATCATTACACCTCAGTGATCCAATAATCCTCTTTCTGCAGTTTTCTTCTGGATATACATAAACCTTAATGAATAATGATCATCTCTTTGCTATCATCTCAGTGATAATTCATAATTCGAATTCATATTATGTTTATTATTTTATATATTTTATACCTAACGAGAGTAAGACATGTATGTGTAATATTCGAAGAAATGAAAAAGATTTTACTAACACGAATTCTTGATTTAAAAGTTACTGTGCAATATTATTTTAAAGGAAATCCATCTTCCTATCTTACACTATTATATATTTCTAGGGGCAGACCTACAGTGGGGGCAGCGGCCCCCACTCACCCCACCTCCACCCCCTATATAACCCTTATATGTATATATGTATGTATATATAGTACAAGCTTTAGTATAAGTAAAATAAAACAGGTAAACTTAACAAATTATTAGTCAGCTTAGATGGTATAGCACACTCCTTCTTGCTTAGGCAAGGTTAAGGGTTCAAATCTTTTATTGCATATTTTTGGCTATTTGAATCTCTAATAGAGTAATAGTGGCTTCAAGTCCTTCAACACATTAAGCTTTCAAAATAATAAATGTATATACTTTTATATTAATAATATAAGATGTGTAATTTATAATGTGTTTTCCATTAATAATAAGATGTATAATTTATAATGTGTTTTCTATTAAAATTATTTTATCAAATTAATTATGTTTTATATTTTGTTATAAATATTTTTTTTCGCTCATATTTAACAATATTTATGGCTAACTTCAAATGTGTAATTTATAATATGTTTTTTATTAATAATAAAATGTGTAATTTATAATGTGCTTTATATTAGAGTTATTGTATCAAATTAATTATGTTTCATATTTTGTTTATTTTTCGCTCATATCAAATAATATTTATGGCTAACTTTTTAATTATTGTTTCATTTTTTTTAAAGTTATCCATTTTGTTTTAATGTTTCGCTCCCACTAAACACAATTTCTAGATCCGCCACTGTATATTTCAGAATACAGAAGAAATAAAATAACAATAGAGAAGATGGTCATCGAGCTCTTAATTAATGCATGATGGCAACAACAACTTCTTGCACCAGTGGTTGAGTTACGTGCAGAAAATGCTAAGCTTCCTGGTCTAACTCCTAACACCAATCCACTTTTTTATTACCTTCATTTTCTTTACAAATGTTGCAAACCCTTTCTAGTTAATAGTTATTATTAGCTAGGAACAAATCTAAGTTTATTATTAACTACGTAAATGCTTACATATATCTCTATCACTTGACTCACTCAAAAGTTGATATTCTCAGTATTTGTTTAGGATGAAGGTTATTAACTTTTACTACGAGGTTCAGAACTGCTAAATGAGAGAGGAGAAGAAAGCTTGTGAAATTATAGTTTTGCCCCTAATTTCATCAGTCAACAAATAGTCAAGTTAACACAGGACTTAATTGAGGATTTAATTGGGTAAGAACGTAAACGATAGTCAAGCTAAGGACCAAATTGGTAATTACGGTATAATCAAGGGACGATTTTGGTTATTAGCTCATAAAATAAATAAATTATTAGTTTATAAAAAAAATAAATCTAATTAAAAACTAATTAAGTAAACACTTACAGGGTGTATTCAATTCAAACTTTAAAAGTTTAGAGGTATTCAATTCAAACTTTTAGACAGTCTTTAAAAGTCATGCGGTATTCGATCAAGATTTTTAAAAAAAGTATTTAAAAGCCGTGTGGTATTCGATTAAGACTTTTAAAGAGTCTTTAAAAGTCATGTGGTATTCAAAAAGTTATGAACTTTTGTAGACTTTTAAATTTTAAGACTTTTGTAGACTTTTCCTTCTCAAATATAAATAGTTGAAATCCAACCATCAACCCCAAGATTTCAAATTTTCTATCTAAACTCTATAAAATTATTTTGTTCTTTATTATCCTATATTTTCCTCATACCTAAACTCTACCAATTTTCAACTTTTTTGAATGGTACTGACTCTATTACATTGTAGTATCTGTTCAAACATACTTTCTCAACCTAATGAAGCACAAAGAGTCAACAACGCCTCCACTGAGAGGCGATCTCATGACCTCCGATATGGGAGCGGTCACTACATGCCATCTGAGCACAAGGTGTTTGGCTTTCTATGAATTTTTTATCCCTAACTTTCTCTAACTCTCCCTAAATACATGAACAAAGCAAATTTTTCATTGTCAAATTTTAGTATATGTTTTCTTTTTTTTGAAAGGAAAAGATGTGTATTCATTAATAATCAAGAAGAGATGAAATAAAGGCCGGTGGTATAGTGAACCACGAACCTAGGACAGACATAGAACCAGTAGCCCGTGCTAATACATGAGCTATATGATTCGCTGACCTATTGACATGGCGAACGCATACGTTCCCGATGTCCGCAGCAATCTTCCGACATTGCTTAATAATCAAACCAGTATAAGAGAGGTCTAAAAAATGAGTGTTAAATGCAGAGCAAAAATTTAAACAATCCGACTCTAAAAAAATATTATTAAAATGATGAGCCTTCAACCATGTCAACGCCTCTTTGACTGCCATTGATTCAGCCATGTAAGGATCATTTCCACAAGCTAACCGGGCAATCGGGCATGACAGGCAGCCACAAATCTTCCCTCAGCATCCCGAACTACCAGACCAAAACTCGCTTCATCACCATGGATAGCTGCGTCAACGTTACATTTGATGAAATTCGCAGGGGGAGGACACCATGTATTTAAATTCAAAGTATTGCTTGGAGGTTGCGTGTGTACCTCTCTTCCCTGAATATAAGTCTGCATCCATATCGCCACAGCACTGTCAACTTGGCGCTGCATTAAATCCAGTGAAGGCATCGCATTTTTCCAAACTACATCATTACGGGTGTTCCATATTATCCATAGCCGTGCAGCAGTCCTCACCATATCAACAACAGAGAGAGAGCAAAGCGCCATAGTCAGAAGCTGCACAAGACATGAAGAGGCTTGATTAGCAACTCCACCCCAAAGCTGTTTGGTCACATGGCAGCCACAAAAGAGGTGATCCAATGATTCATGCTCATAAGTACAGAAGGGGCACCCTCCTCACGCCCAAACATGTTTGGTGATCAAAGCTTCACGTACTGGGAGGATGTTCCTCATACATCTCCAAAGGAAATTCTTAACCTTGGGAGGGATGGGCAATTTCCAAAGTTTCCTCCATTCCACGAACGAAAGCTGGGGATCTACCGTAGGATTACTATTCATCAACATGCGATAGCCATGGCGCACGGAGTATTTACCATGTATATCCCCCTTTCAAAACCATTCATCCCTAAAATCAGGAGAAACTGGTGTGGCAAGTATTCTAGGGATATCATCAGGTTCAAAAATATCTCTAAGAATATCAACATCCCAGGTACCTGCTTCACTGAGTAACCCCGCCACCTTCGCCTCTTTCAATTGTTCGAAAACATGTGTATGTAGCGTAGGGTTCGCTTTATCCGCTAGCCAAGGTACACCCCAGATCAGAGTATCGTTACCATCTCCTAATCGTTTGGCCATTCCTTCACGCAGAATTTCTTTACCAGCTAGAAACGACCTCCAAATGTAACTTGGGTTATTACCCAGTGCTGCCTCCAAGAAATTTGTACTAGGGAAATATTTTGCTTTAAGAACTCTACTGACTAGAGAATCCGGACACACCATCAATCGCCACCCCTGCTTCGCTAGTAGAGCTAAATTAAACTCACGTAGTTTTTTAAAACCCATTCTCCCCCTTCACATTTCGGAGAGCAAAGTCGGGGCCAGCTTACCCAAGAAATTCCTTTGTTTGTTGCACCACTACTCTCCCACCAGTATGGATTCATTAATCGTTCCAAACTATCAGACACATTCACGGGCAACAAATAAACGGACATGGTGAATATTGGAAGGGCTTGAGCAATGCTTTTGAGCAAAATTTCCTTTCCCGCTTTTGAAATAAATTTATTCCGCCATGAACTAAGCCATCCTCTTAATTTTTGCTCAATGAAACGGAATGTTGCAGATTTTAGTATATGTTTCATAATATTCATATAAATACTTATATATTTTGATTTGTATTCTTTTTATGTTTATATTCGTAATATATATTTTTCCTTTTTTTAAGGATGTATCAATTTAGAATTTCAATGACTTTTGTAGACTTTTTAAAATAAAAAGTTGATAAAAGCCTATGAATGTTTTTTATATAGACTTTTATAGAGTCTTATAAAGTTTTAAAAAGTTTTGAAGGACTCTATGAAAGTGAATCAAAGTTTATTAAAATCTATCATTTTAAAAGTGTTTAAAACTCTACAAATCAAAAAAAGAAAAAAAAAAAAAAAAAAAAAAAGAAGAAGAAAAAAGTAAACACTTAAAGATAAACATTAAATTAAATAAATATTTAAATCCTATCCGAACATTTAATGGATGCTCATTGAATTGGAATTACTTGTTGGAGTGTTAAATTGTTAAGTTGGGAGAATCATTGAATGAAGATTTGAGTAGTGGCCAAGTTTTTTTTTTTTTTTTTGTTTTAAGGATAATCGGGCTAACCCGATTTAATTTCTTATCGGGCTAATTTTCCGGCCCTAACCTTATAATTTTTCAATTTTATTTTCGGCCAGCACATCGATTTCGGGCCACAATTAAAATCCATACTTTTAATCATGCGATTACAATAACTTTTTTTAATCATTAATTGTTTTTTTTTTTTTTAAAGAAAAAAAAAAAAAAGAAGAGTAAATATCCAAAAGGGTTCCTCAACTATAGCATAATTCACAAATTGATTCTTGACTATTGATTGGATTGAATTAAATCCTAAATTGTTCAAATTTAATTAACTAATTAGGTCCTCTGTCAATGCCCCGTCTAAAGCCCATCAATTTTGAGGTCATAAGCGTAATTTCATTAGCTTCTCGCATTCTAGAGCTGCTACCTCGTTATAAGATGTAGAAGAAACCTGAATTTCTTCTTTACTTTTCACAACAACATTTTCTTCTCCATGTCTTGAAGACAATCATATCTTGTAACAAATAGTGTTCCATTAAAGCCGATGCAACCCAACTACACTAAAGACAATTATGGTTAACTTCCTCAATTCCCAACCAACTACTCCATGTTTCACTATGGTGAGGTAAATTCTAATCGGAATTGTCATTGTGGTTAATCGTTGAAGCTACGAACACCATGAACAAATGACAACCTTGGCAGAAGGTATTGGGATTGTGGACCAAATAACGTGAGTACTACGCCTAACAATTGTTATTTGTTCAATATTTATTTGTATATACTTATATTAGGTTTTGGGTACATGGGAAGTGAGGTGTTGGGTGTGGATTTGTAAGATGGTATGATCATTCTCTGTGTTCAAGGTCAAAAAAAATCATCCCTTGATTGTTATGGCGGATAAATCAAAATTAGCAAGAAATTAAATGGTTGAAATCAAGGTTGAGAGCAACTGCACAGGAGGTCATTTTTATATAGATTCAAAATTGAAGTGTTCATGTCTCCTGGTGATGATTTCCATTGTTCTATTAGCAGTCTTAGTGATGGTGTTGTTTAATTTCAAAGTTAAAAGTGTAGGTGGTGGAGAATTGGTTAAAAGGTTTCCCCTAGCTTTTTAGGCTAGAACTGTATTGTATTGCAAAAGGTTTCCCCTAGAGGCCCATTTTCCATTTTTCAACCAAATTAAATAGCACAAAGTACATGCATACATGGTATCCCAGAGAGATCTCACTATTTTAGAGACAAATGTAAAGGGAATGACTTTCCTTTTAAAAACAAATTTTATGGTATAAACAAGGATGACGTAAGCGATGAGTCAACCCAACCCTACGTGTGGCTATTTGTTATACCATAGCAAGAAACACTATTGTAAAAATCGGTGGGCGTCCCTAGACCGTGACGATTTCCCTCCTAGGCGCTCGCCTAGACGATCGGCCGCCTAGATGTCCGCCTAGCGCCTAACTCGGTCGACTTGGCCGCCTAGACAGTCACTTAGCGTCTAACTTGGTCGAGTTAACTCGGTCAGCTCGGCCTTGCTAATATTTTTCATTATATATATATATATATATATATATAGACACACACACACACACACACACATATAATATGACATATATACATCCGTAAACTACTAGTTTGATACTTTGAATCTTTGAATGATTGAAGTATTTGAGCATTTCATATTTGAGCACTTTTAATTTTTAATATTGTTTTGATGTTATGACTTATGAATTATCATTATTTCATTTATTTGGATATGTTATTTGATTTAATGTTGAAAACATCTTCATTAAAATTGTCAAACTGCAAGTCTGTCACTGTTTTTTTTTTTTGGCTGCCGCCTAAATTTCGCCTAGGCGCCGCCTAGACCGCCTAAGCGGTAGGCTCTGCCCGGGCGCTCGACTAGCGCCTAGCGCCTACTGCAACCATGGCTACAAATGGGTAAAGGTTGTAGAAGTGTCTGCACGAACAAAAAAGAATAAAGTCAAAAATTATAAAAGAGAAGTCCTGATGTAGTTGAGTATTGTTGAACCTAAAAATTTGATGTTATTATTTCCCTTCTTCTCATTTACATCTATGCCCACATGAAATATTATTTAGGGATGGGCAATCATTAGTGTGGTCAATTTTTGGTTAATAACAGAATCATTTTTCAAAACCCTCATCAGTCCATAACGGATCAATTCATTGTAGTTAACGGCTATTGGTCGGTTATGTTTATTCAAAGGATCTTTTTTACATGTTTTTGTTGACCTCAAATTACTTAAAGGTTATTATTGACGGCCTCAAGTAGCTATTAACAATTAACAAAAAAATTAAAAATATTAAAAATTCTAGCTTCTAGAGATGAGAATATAATTGTGTTGTATTCAATCATAATGTCTGAGAGTACAGAGAGCGAATATATAGATACTAGATAGAACCCTAGTCTAACACGAATAATATAGTCCTAGTCTAATATGGATAACATAGTCCTAATACTCCCCCTCAAGCACAAGGTTGGGTAGCCAAAACATTGAGCTTGTCACGGAGAGAATTAAAACGAATAGACGAAAGAGACTTGGTGAAGATATTTGCTAGTTGATCCTTGGTTGAAATAAAGTGCATCTCTAACTCCTTTTTGGCTACTTTATTGCGAACAAAATGATAGTCAATCTCAATGTGCTTGTTGCGGGCATGAAACACTGGATTGGCACATAAGTAAGTAGCTCCCAAATTATCACACCATAGTCTAGGAGGAGATGCAGGTGAGATGCCGATCTCGTGTAGCAGAGAAACCATCCATGTAACCTCAGCAGATACATCAGCCAGACCCTTGTATTCTGCTTCAGTTGAAGAACGTGCTACTGTCCGTTGCTTCCGACAAACCCAAGATATAAGATTAATCCCCAAGAACACAGCAAAACCACTAGTAGACTTGTGATCATTCGGATCGCCAGCCCAATCTGAGTCAGAATAGGCGTGAATATCCATCGACGCAGACCGAGAAATACGCAGACCAAAATGCAGGGTGCCTTTGACATATCGCAGGACTCTTTTTAGAGAGGCCCAGTCCGTAGTAGTGGGGGCATGCATATGTTGACACAAGAGATTAACAGCATAAGACAGATCAGGACTAGTTACCGTAAGATATTGGACAGCACCAGCAAGACTTTTGTATTGTGTTGGATCGGCATAGGGAGTGGCAACATCATCGGTGGTTTTTGCGATAGAGACAAGCGTGACCACTGGCTTACAGCCCACCATGCCAACACATTTGAGAATATCCTTCATGTACCGTTGTTGAGATAAAAGCATACCACCAGATAATGAGACAGTTTCAATTCCCAAAAAGAAAGAAGGCACACCCATATCACGAACTTTAAACTCAAGTGCCAATTTATTAATAAGAGCAGTAACACGGTCTGAGTCAGACCCCATAATCAAAATTTCATCAACATACACCAAGAAATAAAGACGAACATTATCACGAGAATAAATAAAAAGAGACACATCAGTCTTTGAAGGTGCAAAGCCCACAGAGACTAGAAAATCATGTAACCTTGTGAACCATGCACGTGGAACCTGTTTGAGACCGTAGAGAGATTTTTTTAAGCAAACACACATGATCAGGTAATGACTGATCCTCACAACCAGGTGGCTGGCGCATGTAAACAGTCTCAGCTAGCTCGCCATTCAAAAAAGCATTGTGAATATCCAACTGGCGAATAGACCACCCATGCGATACGGCTAAAGATAAGAGAAGACGTACAGTAGTGGGTTTAACCACATGACTAAATGTCTCAAAAAAAGTCCTCTCCAGCAACTTGATTAAAACCCTTGGCCACCAACCGTGCTTTATGATGTTCTATTGAACCATCGGCCTTTCGTTTGGTTCTGAAAACCCACTTGCAACCAACAACATTCATACCTGGTTGAGAAGGAACAAGACGTTATGTATGATTATCAACCAAGGCATTGAACTCTGCGTCCATTGCATCACGCCACTCAGGAAACTTGACCGCCTGAGAGTAACATGTAGGCTCAGACACCACGGTGGAAGTAGTGTTCATGCCATGCGACCGAGGAGGCAGAGTGGATCGCCGAGGACGCCCGCGCGGTCTGCCGTGCTGTTCAACCTGCTGGTCCGAGACAGTCCGCTCACTCGATGCGGACTACTCGTGACTAGCACCGTCACCATGGCTAGAAGCCAACACGGGCTCGTCAATCTGCCGAGTGCCATCAACAAAGGTGGCCGAGAC